AGAGAGGTCAGATCGTTTATGAGAAGATCGTGTTTCTGGAGAGTTGTGAGCCAGATGTTGCAAGGAGCAACGAACTAATTGTAGACTCTTAAGGGAGTACGTAAGCAGATCAACCGTTCGAACCAATCGGTTGAAGAACGAGACAGTGCAGTGGCTGATGCGTTATCTCGAGCCTAGCCACTAGAATAACTCTCAAAATAAGGGGAGGGGAGTGTTATGATCTTAGCCTGCAGGAGAAACGAGTCTCCCTCCTTGAGAGTTATTCATCAAGCCTGACCTGATTAGAAGGTCTAGCAAATATTGAGGTGATAACGCATATGTAAAATAGTTGCTTGGATATGTATAACAGTTTGAGATTATGGGCAATGAAGAAGAAAACAGATAAATGACTGGCGAGGAGATGTGGACATTTTGCTGGAGGCGTGAGGCTCGCTTCTGGAGGGGCTTTGACCTCACTTGAGGCCAGACATCGCAGGGGAAAAGCCGCGCTCCGTTGAGCTCCCGTCAGAAGGGAACCCCTAGTGATATATCTCGAAGAGAAGAGAAGTGTGCAGACGTACCAGCTGTGGAATCGAGCTGGGGACGTGTGGTCTCAAGTCGTGGGCGATAATTAGTGAATATTAAGCCGCCCGGAGGCATTATTGTGGGCCGTGGAGCGCCCTGACCAAGCCTCGTCAGAGGAAGAAGCGCCCTCGACAAGACGATCTGTGGTAAGCACGATATACGCCAGTTCATAGTGATTGCTTGTAGTTGGTCGTGTGCCCAGCGACAGTAGCGATGTTTATTTATAAGTTAGACATGTTTTAATAAGGCAGAAGGCCTGAAATAAGAGAGTGGAGAGGGAGGAACACGGAGCGACGTCCATCCCCTCTGAGCGCTGGCGGGCGACTGAGGGAGCCTGGCTCCTGACGGAAGAAGGCCCTCCCAGCGAGTGAGGACCGCCGCCAGGCGAGGTGGAGTATGGACCCGCCCAAAACGGGGGAGTCCACTCTCACTGTATATAGAGGACAGATAGAGGTTGGAGACAAACATATTGTGTGAATATTTTTGTTTATGTGTTAAAGGGGAAACATTTTTATTGGAGTGTCGATGGGTTGCAGGTTTGTTCTTTGGGGAAGAAGTTGCTGAGAACTTCGAAGCCAGCCTAGATGAAGTAATTGATGAGACTCCAAGGTAGTGAAGCAGAGGACCTCGAGCTGTGAGGAGAAGCAGTGAAGAGGAGTGTCACGTGCTTCTGTAGAGGTGGTGTAGCAGCCAAGAGAGCTGTGGAGGAACCTAGCAGAAGGGTGAAGCACCGTAGTTGCTCAAGGAAACTTCATGATAGCAGCCTGGAGGAGCTGCAGAGGATCCTGGTAGTGAAGCCCGGAAGAACCTAAAGATATTAGGGTAGTGAACTTCCAGAGGTGGAAGGGAAGTTCTGGTGGATCACTTATAGGGAGTTGATAGTGTTTGGTTGTCATTAGCGTGCAAGACGCAGTGAGAGGTGAGTGACTGTTTGCATTCTTATGTCAAGGAGTGTTTTACACTGAAGTTTAGAGTTACAGTCGTAGGCTGGATTACCTACAGATGTATGCGTTCTAGGACTGATATTGATCGATTAATCATTGTTGTGTATCAATGAACATTTATACTGATATGTTATTGCATTCAAATGCTGATTTTCTTTGTACACATTTATAGATACATATATATATATTCTCTTGCTGATGGTGCAACAGTGTATGTAGACTTGATCAACTTGAGGAGGTTGATAGTATCAGGTGGTGAACCAGGAGATAGGATACCACTTGATAAGCTGATGGTAGAGTTCTGGTTGTGTTAGAGAGCAACCTGATTGTAAGAGTATAGAGTATAGGATTCACTATTATTATATGTGTGTATGTATCGTGTATGTGCTTTGTCCAGTAAATGTATCCCAATTTGCTGGTGTTTGCCCTTGTCCTAGTGAGGCTTCCCAGGAGGTAGGAAAGAAGGAGAGAGAGAGAGAAAGAACCAAGAACCGCTGCTGTGGACAGGGTAGGAGGTAATACTAATAAGCCAAAAGGGGATCGAGGAGATCATATTACCTGAGGAGAGAGTGGGGAGTCACTGCGGCTCGAGTGGGTGTGTGCACGTGACAACGAGGCTAAGTGTTGGAGCCGCATCCCCTAAACGTGTGACGTTGAGCCCCTCTCCAAGAGCCAGAAGCGCCAAGGGTGATCTCCTAGTATAAGCACTCTACCGAGTTGTGTGGGTTGGGTTGTCCATAGAGAAGAATCAACGACAACACCAACCAACCCACAGTACTATAATAATACATAATAATCTATACGTGGAAAATAATTAAGGGGCTGGTCCCAAACCTGCACACAGAAATAACATCACATGAGACCAGAAGACATGGCAGGATGTGCAGAATACCCCCGTTGAAAAGCACAGGTGCAACAGGTACTCTGAGAGAGAACTCTATCAACATCAGAGGCCCGAGACTGTTCAACACGCTTCCACTACACATAAGGGGCATAACTGGCAATCCCCTCACAGTGTTCAAGAGAGAACTGGATAAGCACCTCCAAAGGATACCTGATCAACTAGGCTGTGACTCATACGTCAGGCTGCGAGCAGCCGCGTCTAACAGTCTGGTTGATCAGTCCAGCAACCAGGAGGCCTGGTCGACGACCGGGCCGCGGGGACGCTAAGCCCCGGAAGCACCTCAAGGTAACCTCAAGGTAACCAGCGTCTACTAGAATGTCTCGTAGCCAGCGTCTACTAGAATGTCTCGTAGCCAGCGTCTACTAGAATGTCTCGTAGCCAGCGTCTACTAGAATGTCTCATAGCCAGTGTCGACCAGAATGTCTCATAGCCAGCGTCTATACTAGAATGTCACATAGCCAGCGTCTACTAGAATGTCTCGTAGCCAGCGTCTACTAGAATGTCTCATAGCCAGTGTCGACCAGAATGTCTCATAGCCAGCGTCTATACTAGAATGTCACATAGCCAGCGTCTACTAGAATGTCTCGTAGCCAGCGTCTACTAGAATGTCTCATAGCCAGTGTCGACCAGAATGTCACATAGCCAGCGTCTATACTGGAATTTCACATAGCCAGCGTCTACCAGAATGTCTCATAGCCAGCGTCTACCAGAATGTCTCATAGCCAGCGTCAATTCATGTTTACGTCTTCTCTCTGGTGCCAACAATGGATCACGTGTGTGTGTACTTACTATGTGCGGCTGCAGGATCAAGCTGTTAGCGCTTGGACCCCGCCTCTCTGACCGTCGGCTGTCTAATGTACTGATTCCCAACCTCTGTTCTTCCACCATAGTAGCAGCTGCTTAACTCCCAGGTACAGGTGCATCATGTCAATGAAACGCCGCCCATTTGTTTTTGCCTCGGCCGGGAATAGAACCCGGGTCATTAGGACTACGACCTGTATGTGTGCGTACTCACCTATTTCAGCCTACAGGATCGGGCACTGGCTCTTGGATACTTCCTCTCTACTCGTCGGTTGTTTAAAGCAATGCAAAGCAATGACTCCTGTACTTTTTCCCTATCATATCTACTTTTAAAATTTTGAATGGAAATTATGCTTCCACAACCTGCTCCTTTAGCTCATTCCCTTTTCCCACTACTCTTACTCTAAATGAAAACTTTCTAACATCTTTATTACTCATCTGAGTCTCAAGCTTCCACCCATGCCCCCTGGTTCAGTTGTTATTAAATGTGAACATTTCCTCTGATTCCACCCTGTCAATCCCTTTAAGTATTTTTAGACGTCTCTATCATGTCTCCTCTCTCTCTTTCCTTTTTTTCTGGCGTCGTCAGGTTTGGTTCTTTCAGTCGCTCTTCATATACCATTCCTGGCGACTCTGGGATGAGCCTCGGCTCATACTTCTGAACCTTTTCCAGTTTTCTTATGTGTTTCTTTAGGTGGACGAGACAATCGTGATGATAGCAGACAGAGTGTATCGTGACCCGGCTTGCACTCCTTTTGACATGCCAGAAAGCATACTAAGGAAACTACTCCAAGCCTGGACTAAAGAAGCACCCTTCGTGAGCCCAGATGGGCACATGTATAAGCAAGTAGATGGGGTCGCCATGGGTTCTCCCCTAGGTGTCCTGTTTGCAAACTTCTACATGGGCACCATCGAGCAGAGGGTCTTAGTTGACATGAACGTGAGACCCGCCATATACTGCAGGTATGTTGATGACATTTTTACACAGGTACCTGATGCCAGATGTCTGCAGTAGCTGAAGCAGGCATTTGAGCAGAATTCTATGTTGAGCTTCATGTACGAGATGGAGAACAATGGGAAGCTGCCCTTTTTGGATGTAACAGTCACGGAAAGGAGTGGAGGCTTCCATACTGCAGTCTACACCAAAGAAACAAACATAGGAATGTGCCTCAATGCCAATAGTGACTGCCCAGACAGGTACAAGAGGAGTGTTGTCAATGCTTACGACGACCGTGCTCTAAGCCACAGCTGAGGATGGAAAGAATGTCTCTGATGCCAGCCTCGATGTGGCTGTGGGTGTCGGAGTGGAAGGTAGTGCATCCCCGGCTCCCGCACCTCCGCCTCCCGTGCCTGCCTCGTCTCCAGTTGTGTCTCCTGTGGTGTGTGGTCTCGTGACTCCGGACGTCGAGACTGCGCCTCGGCCTGTACTGTCTCCAGCAGCTGTGTCTTCGGCCCGTGTCGACGTGCACAATGTGATGTCTCCTGCGGTGTGTGGTCCTCTTCCCCGGGCTGTTGAGGCTGCGATGTTGAGTGATCGTGTGCTGCGGGGAGTTGCTCGACCGACCAGCGGTTCTGCTACGGTGCTTCCTGGTGGGGATTGATAGTTCCGACGACCTGCGACCTGTGTCCAAGCGTTCGCGGCGAGCTTTGAGTCTGTCTCCGCCTCGTGATGAGGCCTGGGCCGACATCAGGGATTTTGGGGACTCCGAAGTTCGTCTTCTGTGGATGGTGATGTGAGTGACGCTTTTGGAGTGCCTGAGGCTCTTGTGGGCCGTTTTGCAGCGGTGATGGGTCCTGTGGTGGGATTGTCGCCTGGCCCTGGTCCGGTGTCTTCTCTGGCTGCCTCTGCGTCACCGGTTGCTGGTTCTCCGGGTTGGGAGGTTGCGGCGCCGGCCGAGATTGTGGAAGAGGGAGGGGACTTGGTGCTGGTTCTTAAGAATGCTTCTCTTCCGGCGGCCCCCGTGCCTCTTGCGTCTATGTCTGTCCCTTCCGCGCATCTGCCTTCTGCTCATCTTTCCTCTGTTACTCTGCCCCCTGTGGTGTCGGCCCCTGCAGCATCGCCCTCTGTGATTGTGTCCCCGGCGACTCTGCCCGCTATGTTGCCGGCCTGTGTCCGGCCGACTCCTGTGCTTCAGTCCCATGTGGTTCCACCGTCTGTACCGAAGCTGTGCAGCCTCTTCCCATGACTTTCGCCCCCATGGTGGAGGGCACCCTGCTGGATGTTCCTGACTTCATGCATCGACCGCGAGGATTACGTAGTCACGTTAACGCGTCTGCGGAATTGTGGGCTCAGTGGGATACCTACCGGAAGAAGTACCCGCATCGTTTCTATCCGGATAAATATGAGAATGATTAACTGTGCATGTGGTCCTTGCTCTGTGTTGCTTTATTTATTTGTTTTGATGAGCTATGTGATATGGGTTATTTTTTTCTGTGTTTCTTACCTGGTTATTGTTAGGTTATAATGCTCTAGTGTTTTTTCTTTTCTGACTGTATTTCATTGTTACCTTTGTTTAAGATTCCATTTTGTGTTTTGTATGAATTTTGTTTGTGTGTTTTCCTGTTCTTCTGTTTGTCGGTGTATTTCTGTTTTGTACATGTGAATGATGCTGTTGATGTTTTTCTGTTTTGTTGTATTTGTGTTTCCCAAATAAAAAAAAATATTTTTATTTATGATTTATAAAGTTGATGGAAGCACCAGCTCGGGAGAACAAGAACATAACATTAATGCTGCAATGAATGTAATATATATTTTTTATTTCATTTCATTAAGAGGAGTGCGGCTATTTTGGTCTAAAACAAAAAGAATTTATAAAAAATAGAGATATGTGTTGAAAACAAAGTTTAGTTTACTAAAATTAGATTCAAAAATAGCCTAAGACCACATGTTCATCCCCCCCCCCCCAGAAAATGGATTTGCATAGTATGACACTTTGTGTCTTGTTAATTCCAAAACACGCCTATCCTCGGATGTATTGTCATCAAAGGCAATGATGAACGTGTTTAAATCGAGAACACTCGTCCTACCTTGGTTGAACAGAGTAGGACTGGGATAGTCTCTGTTTACCTCTGGATGCTGGCGACGCCTCGCCTCTAAACTGTTCACTTTACTGTCTAGGAATACACCGTCTGGGTCGTCCTCCTCTGAGATCGGGAGACCATCTTCATATAAATGTGTACCATGTAACAGTGGTGTCTTAAAACCCTCAACGGTATCGTGAATGTTTTATGAGACGCTGTGTGGAACTCCAGCCGTCGCCAAGCCTCCACTTGGTTGAGGATTGGCTAACCAAGCCTCCACTTGGTTGAGGCCTGGCTAACCAAGCCACTACTTGGTTGAGGATTGGCTAACCAAGCCTCCACTTGGTTGAGGCCTGGCTAACCAAGCCTCCACTTGGTTGAGGCTTGGTTAACCAAGCCTCCACTCGGTTAACTAGTGTAAGAGCCCCACAGGTTAACCACCTACTCTTGGTTTAAAATTTAGTTCCACATTACAGTGAAATTCCGTCCTAAACAAGTGGTACTGGAACGGATTTACCTAATATATATTTATTAATAAAGTTTGGTCATTTTTATTGGATTTTTGCATATGCAAATTTATTTTATAGGCTATGACGTTAAAATATTAATATTTTAATGAATGAAGAATAAAAAAAAATATTATTTAGGCTATGATATATTCTGATTTTATTTACGAAATAAAAGGATGAGGGAAAGATAGAATTAGAAAGCAATAGCTTTCTTGTATAATATTATGTGAGTTTAACAAGAACAGTATAATGAAGTCTTAGCAAATTAAATTACTTTGTAATTTTTTAGTATTTGTGTGTTGAGTCCCACAACAGTGGAACGAATAAACATACTTAAAAAATATTAATCTATTCATCAGAAAGCTATAGTCATACACTGTACTGTATTACTTTCAAAAGTATACCGTTAAGCACATCATAACATATTTGAAGAAATAAAGAAATAAATACATGATGATATAAAGATCAATACTGTGGACTCAGTGTTCAATGGGAATTAATTTTAAATTGCGTCACTCTCCCTCTGAACATAAGAGGCAAAACTAGCCGACCTCTCACGTAGTTCAAGGGAGAACTTGATAACAAATCTCAAAGTATACCTGATCAACCGGGCTGTGACTCATACGTCAGCCTGCGAGCAGCTGTGTGTAACAGCCTGCTTGACCAGACCATCGACCAGAAGGCCTGGTCAGAGACCGGGTTGCGGCGACATTGATCCTCGGAACCAACAGTAGGTTGACAGCAAGTACGTACACAACATAAGACCTCAAAATACGACGGCAGTAAAAGTCAACTTGAGCTGAGCTAAAGCTTTTGATAAAGTTAATAGTTTCCTCCTGAAGGTCAGGGATAAGTTAGGGTAACGAGCAACTTGAGAAGCCTAGTTCAAACTTCATAAATATGAAATAATTCATGTCATTTTTTTTATCTTTTTAAGACAAAAGTTGAAAAGTGTATTGCAGCCAATAATATAATGAAAAATATAATAGCACGAATTCTATACAAAGCATAATTCCAAAAAAATATTAATTTATTAAAATTATTATTTATTAAAACAATATTTATATTAATTTTATGATCAAGTTATATCGTGAAAATTTGAAATAATGAAGTGTTTTTAATGGGATGAATTAGGAATAGTGTCATTTCCACATGCAAGCACAGTGTTACTCAATTTCTACTGAAGCCTGTTACAATGTAATTAGCAGTATTTTAAGGGAAACAAAATTGAAATACAATTGCTGTGGGAAAAACTCCAGGAAGCTATTCTCTTTTTTTAAATTGACTTTAATAAGATAAATTTTTATCTGATTAATGTTCTTAGTGAATAAGTAATTAAGTGAATGAACTGTATGTACTGATTCAACTGCCTGAAATTATCTCACATAATCTGGGGGGACAATTTGTAGCTTAAACCACTTTGAGATGGCTCCTTCTTAAACCACAAATTGTTTACCTTATAAATATAATAATATTATACCATATATGGTGGTGTAATCTACTATTATTATGGTAATAATTAATTAATAATTATGAGTACTACTTTCACAGTAAAATACAAAAAAGGGCTTAGCTGTTCCTGTAGTAGGGGCCTGCTAAGGCTGTGTAATTGTAGCATCAAAGATGGGTGTGGCCCTGTGCCTCTGAGTGCCACATAATGGCGGCTGTCGAGGCTACAAAGCCGGTGAACAGCTAGGTAAATTATGTGTAAGGCCCAACTGGCTGCTCAGCTTCTTGCTACTCCAAATCACAATTACCTGTTTGGGATGTAAGGAATTAATAAAGGTTCCCTAAACATATAATTACAGGTATGACATGGAATATGAGGGTGTTAAATTGTGTAAACGTACGTCTTGTGTGTTTTCTCCATACAACACAACCATCTACCTATTTATGAATAAACCGTGCACAGATTAAACAAAATACTTGGTAAGACAGATACGGTCGTTGCTGTAGTTGTTGAGAGGCTGTGTTGCTGGTTGCTCGCTTGTTGACACATAATCTGGGTGTCTAACGAGTTAAATCAGTTTCTGGAGCTCTCTACAGCGTGTTTGTTGTTGATGTTCTGGTGTAAGTGACATTACCTCCCTGCGTGTTTTGGTTCTACCTCTGGATTTAATTTTACATTAACAAGGGAGTCAAGCTATATTTTGGTGTTAGTAATTATATTCAGTCTTATTGAACACTTTTTTATTCAATTTAGACACTAGACTGTTATATAAACAGTATTATAGTAATGTAAATATGGCGTCGTCGATGATGTCACGGAATCACCCATTCTCTATTCTTTAAGGGGATACTCTCCTATTTTGTGTGTCCGATTTCCGACATAATTCCAGGGGGGGGGGGAAGAACACCGGTTGAAACCCGGTAAGGACTGCGATCACTTTATTTTTCTCCTTCAGAATTATAGTGCTGCTTTAATCTGAGTTTACATTGCTGTGCTGCAGTCCTTTGGGGACGTATGTCCCGTACTGGCATATCGGGTGCTGGAAGTCGTTGAACGTCCTCTTTTCCTGCCAGTTCTAAAGGAACTAATTTCTCTAATGTTTTAAGAGTAGTGTTGCCTCGGCATTTGACTTTTACTATTCTCAAGATGCCCTGGTTGTCTGGATGAACAGAGACTATTTGGCCTACACAGGCTGTGGTGAGCCCGTAGTGGACTTACCTGTCACAGGAGCGTGGCTGTAACTTGATTTGGAATAAAGAGTATTCAGAGAACACCTTGTGGATTCTCACTGAACACTTTAATATTTTCTTCTACCACCCTTTAGTGTTATTATATAATAATAATATATATATATATATATATATATATATATATATATATATATATATATATATTTATATATGCGAACAAGCCTAAATGGTTCCCAGGCATATATGCAACTGAAACTCCTCACCCCAGAAGTGACTCGAACCCATACTGCAAGGAGCACTCTGCAACTGGTGTGCAGGACCCCTTAACCACTCGACCATCACAAACTGGCAGTATGGGTTCGAGTCACTTCTGGGGTGTGAGTTTTCAGTTGCATATATGCCTGGGGACCATTCAGGCTTGTTCACATTTGTGTTCCTCATGTGTGCCCCAAAGAATGAGGTGATTTGATAAAATACTATGCCCAAGATTACCATCAGAGTGCCGGCGGGATGATGGGGAATTAGCCTAGGCTACCATGATCTTTTGTCCGGTCATGATGATCGAGTGGTTAAGGGGTCCTGAACACCAGTTGCAGAGTGCTCCTGGCAGTATGGGTTCGAGTCACTTCTGGGGTGTGAGTTTTCAGTTGCATATATATGCCTGGGAACAGGCATATATGGGACACAGACAGGTCATCCAAGAGTGAGTCTCGGGAGCCAGCTAGAGTACCATCGTCCAAAAACCAAATGTTGAGCTCACGGGACAGGTTATTGGGGACTTCCTTGATGACAAGGCAGAAAAAAAGGAGCAAGGGGATCATTCTGTTGGACACCTTCTTGTGATTCAGTTTCATGTTCCCCGAATAGCAGAGTTAGATTCTTGCTGTAACATGAGTTTACAAACGGGTAGAGGGAAGGAAATAAGCGATGAACCGCACTGAGTACTGCATTCCTTCTAAGCAGATTGAAAGCATTTGTGAAGTCCAGTTTTATCAGGGCTTTTTCCTCGTAATGTT